GTCCAAGAACATCTGGGGACTCAAGGTTGTGAGCCACTTATCTATTGTAAAGTGGGAGGCTGTTCCCCCACTCAGCTTGGATCACAACTCCCATAATCCTTCACTATCTGTCATGGTTAGTAAGGCTAGTAACAATTGTGAACAAGGAATCTCGCTTTCATTGACCTGTTAGAAATGCAAACTGTAACTGGAAGAGCTAATGCTTATTTAATCAACAGCTGTTGGCACTGACTTAATTGCTTTGTGTATGTCCAGCAAAAATGCCTCTTTGCATTGTTGCATGCATGCAGGATTAAGGCGAATGAAAATTATGGCAAGTAATATGCTAGGGATCATTGCTAAAACTAGCAAAGTCATAGTGCCAGTGGAAGGTTCCTCAGGCGGCTTCTAAAAATCCAATAATGCCTTCAGCAGTCTTCCTTGAAAGGATAATCTTTATGGAGTCTGCACCTGCAAGAAAGGAAGAACCTTGTGACTCATCTTACAAACCTTCACAAAATTCCATTAGCAATCAAGGTGGTATAAGTCCCATAAGAGGAGGGGTTTCCACCATATGGTTTTGATCAGAACATGGAAAAAGTACAGTTTTTGATTACTTCTTCCAGAATCTTACAACCAGTACATCCAATAATCAGATTCTGGGAGGCAAAGTCTAAAAAAATTAATACATTTTTAGGGAAGGGTAGCATAGGGTAAGTGGGATGTGGTAGATCCAAAAGCTAAGCCCCAAACTGTAGGTGCTATTCTAAAGGCTGCCTTCTGACAGCTCTTTGAACGAGCAAAAAGATGGCCAAGAGATGAGAGATCAGCTTCTAAACTTCACTCTAAAGGGAAAGCAGACAGGAAATGGGGAGCTTCTAATTGGGACAGAAGCATCTCTCAGGATCCCCAGATGTTCTTGGACTGCAATTCCCAGAAATTCTGGCCAGCACAGCTAGTGGGGAAGTCTTCTGGGAGTTTAAGTCCAGCAACAGCTGAGGACCCAGGGTGGGGAACCAGGGACCTAGAAGATGGCTCCCCATATGTCAATACGAGCAATTTGATGGCACATAATATAGATTGAAACTTCAAGCTACATTTTCTCTGAAGACAGAATCTGTTCTGAATCTTTCCAGTCTTTTAAATCAATTACTTAAGGCAGAAACAACATTTTAGCAAATCAGACAAGTATTGGTTATAGAAGCATATGTTATTTGTATAACGTCTATAAATTTCTCTGACAAAGAACCAATCGAATTAAATGTCCAAAATCCACTGGAACAAATGTCCTTTTTTGGGATGGGTCTACCCCATTGTTTTTATCTTTGGTGGAGACTTTGATTTTAATGGGATAAGAATACATACTAAATATAAAGGTAAAGGTAAAGGTTCCCCTTGACATTTAGTCCAGTCGTGTTCGACTCTAGGGGGCGGATCTCATCTCTGTTTCCAAGACGTAGAGCCAACATTTGTCCGAAGACAGTTTCCGTTGTCACGTGGCCAGCGTGACTAGACACGGAGCACCGTTACCTTCCCACTGAGGTGGTACCTATTTATCTACTCGCATTTTTACATGCTTTCGAACTGCTAGGTTGGCAGGAGCTGGGACAA